AGCGGCTACGTATGCTGTGTTTTTGGGAAATTGTAGTCGCTGAGTTTACTACTTTCTTTTACAACTTCGTTGATTTCACTACTTCTACTTCCTGTTATCTTCTTCGTCGTCTTTTTCACCAGTAGAAACAGCCGGTTGTTGATCACGTGACTCCTGTGATGTGGAAAAACTGTTTGCATTGCAGTTTTGCGAAAAACACCAATTTCGATACGGCTGAAAAAACACCTCATCCTAGCGCAAAAACATTTTGTTGAAAAACATAAATATTTTGAAATTGACGTGTTTCCATTGAGCAAATTTATTTTTGAAATTCTATTTTGCGCATTTTTATGGTCAATGGAAACGCAGCTGTCTCTGTGGATCATTTCTATATTTGTAAAGCATCGACAGTACAATTTCCTGGACAGATTAGTACATATATGACATCATGCATGTGAATGTGTTTGTTTCATTCACGCTACATATTTACCGTTCTTTACCCAGGCAAGTCCCACTGAGATCTCAGATCTCTTTTTCAAGGGAGGCCTGGGCTACTTATATAGACTACTGAGAACAGATCTGTGTTTTGTTTTTCCTCCCCTGTATGGAGAGAAGAGAGGAGAGTTCTTTGAATAAATGGAGACGAGTTCCTGTGCTCCGAAGTTATTTGACTCTGTGGTTCTCAGTGTGCAGGTTTCCAGCCCTCATAGCTCACACGTTACACTGAGTACTAATGAAGGAGGTTAAAAAAATTGATCCTTTTTGTTCGACTACCAATTTTCTGTTTCTTTGTCAGGAGTTAAATAAAGATTTTATCTTTTTATTTTTTTGTAGATAAGTTGATGATTAAGTACGTAATTTTGTTTTAAATACTTTAAATTAAATAAAACTTAAGCAACACATTACGTTCTGTTTTATTTACTTTAAAGAAGTGAGGAGTAGGGAGATGAAAAATAATGTTTTTGTGATAATGAGACTGGACGAAACTGCCGACTTCAAAAGTAGCTCTTGGTTCAAAAAAGTTTGAGCACCCCTGGCTTAAAGTGATGCCTTCGCTTTAGATCATTTTTGAGTCATTTTCACATTGAGAGGAGCCAAATGAGGTGGTTTGAGCATCTGGTTAGGATGCCTCCTGGACGACGTTCTCAATGCTCAGTTCTGAATTTGCAATATGTTGTAAAAATGTTAATGTTTAGTTATCTGTGTTTCTATGCTTTTGTCATTGTTGTTTTCTGTCTGCCTGTGTTGCTACCTCTTGGCCAGGCCATGATTATAATAGACCTGCTTCTCAATTGACCTGCCTGGTAAATTATACATTACCTATGATTTTTTTCTAGGTGTTGTTATTGATTTAATGCACCTGATGAAAGACGGTGGCTTTGATGTCTCCCTCTTCTTTCGTGACATTGTAAGTCCACCTGAGGATGAGAGTGAGCTGGGACTGCAGCTGGAGCCGTGTAACAAACTGGAGGACCTGCAGAAAAGGGTCCGGGCTAAGGAGCAGACAAAGAGAGCCATGGCCAGGTTGAGATCAAATAATCTCAGTAGTTGTTACATTTGCGGTTTCCTGTTTTAGTTGCAAGTGTTTTTACCCTCACACCTACTTTACTCACTTTGCATATTTCTCTGCTGCGTTCAGGTTGAGCTTGTGTCTTGGCGAGGGCCTAAATATCGCTGTGGGACTTTATGCAACAGCAGTACAAGCTCGGAAACCAGCTCCAGTCAGACTTTACAGAGAGACCAATGAATCAGTTCGCAGTAAAACTCGTACCTTCCACACTCAGACTGGCAGTTTGTTACTGCCCAGTGAGATAAAGAAGGCACAGGTATTGTTTTAATTGGAAAGTGGTACAAAGTGGTATCTGTCAAGATCTAAGTTGCACATCTAAAACTTAGTGTGTTTTAGGTGTATGGCAAGAAACAAATAGTGATGGAGAGAGACGAGGTGGACTCCATCAAGAAATTTGATGACCCCAAGTTGTTTCTGATTGGATTCAAACCAATGGAGAAGCTCAAACTGCATCATCATATCCGACCCTCTGTCTTCATCTATCCTGAGGAGCAGGAAGTGAAAGGTAGAAATGTGTTTGAGTTACTTAAAGGATAAACAACCACTCTATGTTTATATATTTCAAATGAAGATATAAATTATAAAATGATGTCTGTATGAAGCAGTGTTTGTCTTGAGTTCACCAAACCTTTCTATTAAATCAAACCTTTCCTGTGACTTTTCTCCTCAGGAAGCGCATGTCTGTTTTCAGCATTGTTGAAGAAGTGTAGTGAGAGAAACATTTTTGCGCTCTGCCGTTGCATCCCCCGCCGAAACTTTCCACCTCGATTTGTTGCCTTGGTGCCTCAGCTGGAGGAGGTTGATGAAGGGACAGGACAGATTACTCCACCAGGTAATCCACTACTAACATCGGAACAAGTTTACTTTGTGCGTGCTAAACAATCACAAACTTATCAAACAGCTTGATTATTTTAGGCTTCTTTTAACTAACATTGTGATGCATTTCTCAGCCTAACATTATTCCAGATGGTGTTTGAGTTAATTTAGAGGTCGGCTGTTCGATCCCCTATTTCAGCTTTCTCAGTTGTTGTGTCCTTGGGCAAGCAACTTCACCCCTACTGCCTCTGATGTGTGTCCCATCAGTGTATGAATGTGATTGGCACTGATTAGTCTCCATAGATTGATTTGTACATGTTAGCTTTGTCTTTAGGTTCCAGGACGACTCCCGCTAACCACTCTGGCAAAGCTGCCTCCAGAATTGAATAGAATTGAACTATATGCCAGAGAAACACATAATATTGGCCCTTTAACTGGAAGAAACCTCCAGCAGAACCAGAACTAAGCTCAGGACAGGAGGTCATCTGCCTCGACCGATTGTCACTGAACAGTTTTTGTTTTATGTCTTTCATACTGTGGGATTAATGATTTATCATTGTTATATCTCCATAGTACTGCAGCCAGATGATTATATTGATCTGATTATTTCTGTCTTTGCAAGGTTTTAATGTTATCTACCTGCCGTATGCGGATGACATACGGACACTGGATCCTCCTCGATGTCCTCCGGCCTCACAGATGCAGGTGGACAAGATGAAGGAGATTGTCTACAAGCTCCGCTTCAAATACAGGTAGAGGAACCTAAAAGATGTTTCTATAGAAAACTAAGATGTTTATCAAGTGCTTGATGTGACGGATGAAATGTAGTTTCACTTTTTGTATAAAAACGTTTATGTAGAATCAGAAAGGAACAGATGTTCAAAGATCCAAGCTGAGTTTAGACACTAAAATCACAACTTTCTATTAATTTTATTCATGTAGTGCCAGAAAGCACCTCAGGACACTGTAAAAAAACATTCACATAAATTATAAAATCTCTCCGTCTCATCTCCATCTTCTTCCGCTTATCCGTAGTCGGGTCGCGGACGCAACAGGTCCAGGAGAGAAACCCAGACATCCCTCTCCCCAGCTGCACTTTCCAGCTCGTCCTGGGGGACCCTGAGGCGTTCCCAGGCCAGAGGGGATACATAATCTCTCCAGCGTGTCCTAGGTCTTCCCTTGGGCCTTCTACCAGTGGGACATGCCCGGAACACCTCTAAAGGGAGGTGTCCAGTAGGCATCCTAATCAGATGCTTGAACCACCTCAACTGACTCCTTTTGATGTGGAGGAGCAGCGGCTCTACTCCGAGCTCTCTCTGGATGATGGAGCTCCTCACCCTATCTCTAAGGCTGAGCCTGGCCACCCTACGAAGGAAGCTTGTTTTGGCCACTTGTATGTGGGATTTCATTCTTTCAGTCATGATCCACGCCTCATGACCATAGGTGAGGGTTGGAACGAAGACAGACCAGTAAATCCAGAGCTTTGCCTTTCGACTCAGCTCTTTCTTCACCACGACTGACTGAAGCAACGCCCTCATTACTGAGGACAAGGCCCCAATCTGTCGATCCATCTCCCACTCCATCCTACCATCACTCATGAACAAGACAACCAGATACTTAAACTCCTTCACTTGAGGCAGAGACTCTCCCCTGACCCGGAGGGGGCATTCCACCCTTTTCCAGTAAAGAACCACGGGCTCAGACTTAGAGGAACTTACTTTCATCCCAGCCACTTCACACTCGGCTGAGAACCGCCCCAGTGCACACTAAAGGTCTTGGACTGAAGACGCCAACAGAACCATCATCTGCATACAACAGAGATGAGACCCTGTGGTCCTCAATCCAGACACCCTCCTCTCCACGACTGCACCTTGAGATCCTGTCCACAAACACTACAAACACGAATGAAGGGACAGCCCTGGCGGAGTCCAACCTGCACTGAGAACAAGCTCGACTTTGTGCCAAGAATGCGAACACAGCTCCTGCTTTGGTTATATAGGGACTGGTTCGCTCTTAGTAGCAACCCAGACACCACACACTCCCGCAGCACCCCGCACAGAATACCTAGAGGAACACGGTCATAAGTCTTCTCCAAGTCCACAAAACACATGTAGACCGGAGAAGCAAACTCCCACGACCCCCTTAACAACTCTGCAAAGATAAAGACCTGGTCCCCTGTTTCATGCCCAGGACAAAAGCTACACTGCTTCTCCTGAATCCGAGGTTCAACAATTTATTATAGCCTCCCTTCCAACACCCTGGAGTAAACTTCCCCAGGGAGGGCAAGAAGTGTGATTCCACAATAGTTAGAACACACTCTCCGGTCCCTTTTTTAAAAATGGGAACCACCACCCTGGTCTGCCACTCTACAGGAGTTGTCCCAGTCCTCCATGCAATGTTGAAGAGATGTGTCAACCATGACAACCCCACAACATCCAGAACCTTCAGCATCTCAGGGCGAATCTCCTCCACCCCTGGCGCCCTGCCACCAAGGAGCTTTTTGACTACCTTGGTGACCTCTGCCATGGTAATGGACTCATCTTCCCCCGAGTCTTCAGACTCTGACTCATCAAAGGTGGACATGAAGGATGGATTCAGGAGATCCTCAAAGTGTTCCTTCCACTGCCCAACGATATCCTCAGTCCTGGTCAGCAGCTCCCCACCTGATAGAACAAAGTTGAGGTGGTGTTTATTTTCATCATTTCAATATACTTGGCAGTGAGAGCTTGGGTCAACTTCCTTATCTTGAGAG